ATATTATATTATATTATATTATATTATATTATATTATATTATATTATATTATATTATTAGAAAAGTATATAACTTGTTTAGGTTTGTTATGTAATTCTCAATACAGACATTTATAAATCATGTCTTCAACAGTATTGAAGCTATTATTTTATGGGAGAAAATGAATATATATTGTAATTATACAATATAATTTTAGATTCACATTTCCTGTTCTTCCAGTATTTCAATAGATAACTATTTGATCAAATATTCTCTATTCTTAAAGAAGTAGTTAATAAGTTATAGAAAGTAGAATTTTAAAAAAAGAAAGTTTTGAAGCATCTAGAACTGAAGTGAGCAATCTTTTAGTCCACCAAGAACTCTAGAAGAGCTGCAGAAATGCATGGAATGTACTAAGAGGGCTCAAGACATTCCTGCACTCCATTTACATCCATAGGATGGTTTTGCCTTTGTCCACTGAATGTGAATCAAGCCATTGATTTGTTATGTGTCATCAAGTCGGGTTGACTCTTAGCGACCATATAGATAGATTTTCTCCGTGATGATCTGTCCCTGATCTGGTCTTTCAAGACTTCCAACAGGGTACCCATCACCACTGTAACTGAGTCCATCCACCTTGCTGCTGACCTTCCTCTTCTTTTTCCTTCCACCTTTCCCAATATCAGAGCCATCTTCAGAGAGCTAGGTTTTCACCTTATGTGTCTGAAGTATGATAATTTCAGCCTGGTCATTTGTGCCTTGAGTGAGAACTCTGGGTTGATTTGCTTGATAATCTATTTCTTTATTTTCTTGGCTGCCATGGTATTCTCTGGAGTTTTCTCCAGTACCAACTCTCAAAAGCATCAGTGTTCTTTTTATCCTGCTTCTTCAAAGTTCCACTTTTGCTTTGTCACAAAGAATACCTTTGCTTGCACTATTCTGATCTTTGTAGGTATTTCACAGAATTTGGATATCTTTTCCAAAGCCTTCATGGCCACTCTACCAAGGGCTGGTCTGCAGCATATTTGTTGATTGCTTGTTCCTTTACTTCTGATGGTTGATCCTGTGGCTTAGTCAACAAATCATGTTAAACTACAGCTTTATGTGTGCATGAGCCCAACCAAAGATAGTTGTTGAGGAAAGAGACTCTTTGGGAGAACAAGGTTTATCAGGTTTATTTTTCCCATTGTTAGTAGCAGCAGGGAATCGGGTCAATTTATGTAGAAATAGCTGGGGGAGGGAATACTTGGAGCCTTCTCCTTCTCCCCCAACTATCCTGATCAGGACTGCTGGGAAAAGTCTTCAACTTCCTTGTCTACCACCCTTTGCTACTCATACAGGTAAGATTGCAGCTGTTACATCATTAATGCGCGGACAGTAATAGTACAGACGCTGCAATCTTCCTTGGGATCTCTTCTCTGCAATCCAGATACTGAAATATGAGGCTAATCAAATGCAAGCAGATTATTTTCTTTGTTAAGCAGATGGGTTTCATTAATTTAACTCCATAGAAATTGGAAGAACAGGACCGGAAAGCTCTAAATATTAAAGAACAATTACAGCGAGAACATCGGTACCTCAAACGTAGATTGGAACAGCTGTCCATGCAGGGCCTGGAACGAGTTCGCACAGATAGCCTTGGATCAACGATATCGACAGATTCTGAGCAAGGTAGGCAGTTTGAATTCTGCCATCTCTCACCTAGAAGTAGGCATGCTTGAAATCCACAAAGAGATACAGAGATCCAAACGTCCAGCAACAAAATTTAAGGCAATTCAAAGCTATCCAACTTCTTTTTAAAAAAACACAATTTCAATAACAATTTATGATGGGCTGGGAAAAAAATTAATAAGAAGTTAATAAGTTAATAAGAAGGGAAAACTGGTTGCTACAGAGAGAAATGAGGCATTAACATCAGAGATACAAAATATCAAAATCCAGGATATAAAAGCAACGTTTTTAATGTGAGCTTGCCTTTTTAAAATTGTTTGGAGGTCTCATGGTGCAGAATGTAGAAGCTAGAATGTTGTCTAGGATTTAAATAGTTTCCTGTGCATTTTCAGGTGATAGGCTTCATCTATAAAATAGAGATAATTTTCAACTATCCCCTTTCCTAACCTTTTCTAACTGAGAAATAATATTTCCTACAGTTCCATATTTAGAGTGATTGATGATACTTCATGATATCAAATGCCTTAACTCTATCAAAATGTATTCCAAAACCTGCACAATTACAATTCCTATATACAGTTATAAGTCTCAAATGTTTTTGCTTGCTTCAGATCCATATACTTCAGAAGAAAAATAATCTAACTTAAGTTTGTAAATATACACTAAAAGAAAAAAGGAAACCTGCAAGATAGTAGAGAAGTTTATTTCTGTCCATATACAAAAACCTTGTTTTTTCTTTATTTTAAATATGTCTTGAGGTATCTGCATTTTCAGCAGATTGTGCTGTTGACGTGACACAAAATGACTGAATTCTGAGAGAGTGCTTTCATCCAGCCAGAGAGGGCATCCTTGATTTTAAGACTGGAATTAGGATAACCATTTACCTCCCTGCTCCCATTCCTGCCTTTCATGCTCCCAGAGCAGCTTGAAAAAGGCCACCTTCTTTTCACAGCATCCCTGGGATCCTGTCAGTCATACAACTCTGGCCACTTTTCCTCTGTAGGAGAAAAACCAAGTTCTCCATTGCTTGCTGCAATGCTATATTCCAGTGCAATTTCTTTAATTAATAGGGTCTGAAGTACCCCTGTTTGATCATGTGAGGCTCTTTGTTGGCCTCAGTGTTGTTGCTGAAAATCCACCGCCAGCTGTCATAGTACCGTTTCCAGTAAAGAAAGAGCTTTCAAAATACGGTTCTCCCAAACATGTCTCCATTTTGCAAATGTCCAGTTATTTTCTTTTTTCTTGCTGTAGGAGCTGTAGCAGCACTGTTTGTAGTTCTGATCCCTAGTTCCCAGTTCATCCTTTCTGTGATTCTGCAGACATTATAGTAGTTTTATAGACAGATCTTGTGCTATAAAGAGACAGAAACAGTGACTTAAACAGCTTCTGATTTTTAGTGAGTTGCAGTGGCTTGAGGTATTCATAAGAAATACTTTCCTAGAAGGAAATCGTTTGTTCAAAGAAAAAAATTACAGCTCAGGCTGTAAAAAACCTCTTGTTCCAGGCCAAATTGAAATAAACCCTGCAACAATTAGAATGTTAATGCTGGACAATATCCCAGTAGGTGATGGTTGCATTGTTACTATTATTGCCACATAATAAATACTGAAGTAGATTTTTCTGGACTTTGTTCTTTATTACTAAAAGTAACAGTTAGTTTGACAACTTGGAGTTACCTTTTAAGTTAATTAATTGCAAGCAGCAACCTTTTTCTACAAACATTTATCCTAATCTGTATTTACTGATGGAATATACAGATTCTACCGCTACCCAAAAAATCCCCGCGCTATTGCAAACTACACAGCGGATTGATTGCAAGGTGCATATACATGGTCATTAAATAAAATCCCTCCAGATTTTTCAGACTAGGAATGATAATGGCTTAGAACAACTGAAATGGCAGAACCTCTTCCCTGCCCATTTTTATGACCTAAATCCCATCCCATTCTCCCTTTGCATTAATTTGAACATTCAAAGTGAGTAATACAACTTTTAAAAAATCCAAAATATAGGAAAAAATGAAAATAAACTAGAAATACCAAGTTTTCAGTCCCCTTACTCAAAAAGGGGACACTCACAAACCAGGGGAGGGGAAACTCTTCTCCTCCAGGGCTTCATTTTCCACTCTGTGGACTAGCCCAATCAACTTTGGGCATTTTCTTAGAATGCTGTTACAATGCAGTTTCAAAATATAGCATACTCCTAGTATGACAGATCTTGTAAATATGTTAGTGCATGGTAGCCCCCCAAACTCATTATTTTGGGCTTTTAACTATAACTCCCCACTGGTTGCAGATTTTTAATGTCTTGTCACAAAGATGTTACTTGCAGGCTGACCGAGAAGTTCTATGATGTTCCTTACAATGACGTCATAGGCACTATCAAGTACAAGTCATTTATAAGAGTACATTTCATCTGGATGTTTTGTGGGGAGGGACACCAAAAATCAAGATTAAATTAGTAGATACAGAAGCTTTGTTTCTTATTTGCAATGTCTTTTTTCTCCAGAAGTAATGGAATGCGCTAATGCCAGCAACATAGAATCAAAATGTAGAAAGAAATCAGAAATAAATAGTAATCTTGATAAATAATTTTGAGATCCTTTATTTTAGTTTATGGACGCTGTGTATTAATAGGCTTATAAAGGCAATTAATCAAAATTCAAATAAATAAAACTTGTGAGTGTCAGAACTAAAATGTTTTTAAACAACATATAGCTAATGGTGAATGATCATGTTACGTTTCTTAATTCATTTATTTCATTTATTTCATTTAGTAACTCTGAACTTGGTATAGTAAGTTTAGGAGGTTGCATGCAACTGTCAGATACAGAGAGAGAGAGAGAGAGATTGGAACAGGCTGTTTTGATCATTTTGGAAGTTTTTCAAGCTTGCACACTAGTTGTACTTCCTTGTATAAGTTTCTGTCAGGAAGTATTGATAGAATTGTTGGTGTGGTATCTACTGAACTTTGTCCTTCTGTAAGTTTCCACAATATAATTATTTCTCATAGCCAAATAAATATAAATATGATTTGAAGTTTTGCATCGGTTAGTGAAACGTTACCCAGGAATGGGGGTGGCGTTGGATAATGATGAGTTTCAGCTGTGAGATGATACGTGTGACATGCTTTAAATACTTTATTTACTGTATAAATAGTGAACTGTTTAGGGATAGATGGTCTTCCTGGCTGCTCTAAAACTTCTCTTGCTTCTGTTTCAATGTAGAGGTCGACATTGAAGGTATTGAATTCACCCCCGCTGAAATGGACAGCAGTGGAAGTGTTAGTGACGCAGAAGACAGTTTGCAAGGCAGCTCGAGCGACAGCGGCTACACCCGGCCCCACAGACGGAACGCCAGGCTTCTCTAGCCTTGGACTGGACTGCCAGGATATCCGGGTGGAAACCCTTCCCTTAAAAAGCCCAGAGGTGTCGACTGCCACTCTTCGGAAAGCGCCCCTTGAAAGAGGCCTCTGTCCAGGGTTCCCTAGGCTATTAATATATTAAAGTAGAAATCATGGGTTTTTGTTTTTTGTTTTTTTTACTGCAGGTTGAGATTAGATACAATTTTAGGTTAAAGTTCCTTCATGTCCCCTTTATACAAGCAGTTAATTGTTGAGAGGGGTTTTGTTAATCTCTCCCAGAAGTGTAGAAGTTCAGCTTTTGAATAAATTACTTGGACCCATTTTGACAAATTGTTCTAG